CCTATGATTGGTTCTGAATTGTTGCCTAAGACAATCGAAAATTAGTTGACCATACATATCCTTTTCCTATATATAAAAAAATAAGTGTAGATTATGATCATTATAACTGACGTCAGTCAAAAAAAAATTAAAGTCCATGAACTCAAGAAAGTATTGTTTAATATATTTATTTCTTTGATAATTTGCGGTAATTAATAAATTAATAATCAGCTGAACAGGCCGATGTACACAGAGAGGTGTACACCCGCTTCCCTGTGTAAATACACAGAAAGTTTACTTTAGACCTGGTAATATATATATATATATATATATATATATATATATATATATATATATATATATATATATATATATATATATATATATATATATATATATATATATATATATATATATATATATAATAAAGTATTCCTGCTGATTGGTCAGCAAGGACTTCTATGACCTTAATGACACTACCACTACACGCAGCGGTGGTGTAGTGGTAGAGTATGCGGCTTGGCATTGTCTTGACTGCAGGTTCGAGCCCACCTCACTGACCTAGTGGATTTTCTCACTCCAGTGCTTGATAGGCGCAACACCACTTAGAAGGGAGTCGGTAGCAGCAGCTTGCTTAAGTATAAAGTGGGTACTGGGTTGATACTCGAGTACTTGGCTCATAATAAGGTACCTGGCTGAAAATCAGGTACCTTATTGTCTCAATAAGGTACCTGATTTGATTGTCTCAACAGGTACCGAGTTGATAATCAGAATCCTGGCTCATCAAAGTAATTCTTTGTTGGTTCATTGCCAATCGGTGTATATATATTTCACAGATAATCAGGTGACTGTCAATCAGATGGCTGTCTTCAACATCTAGTGATATTTTGATAGGGCTTATTCATCCCAACTAAGTTTTATTATTGTATAAATGCATATACATATATCATTGTAAACTCATTATTTAAATGTTACTTTCATCACGCCAAATAAATAACTCAGGTTGAGTTACCTTTAAAGCTAAGCCTTTTAGGCTTGTGTGGTGCAAGGATCAATAATGGCATAATAGCCTCAGATTAAAGACTCCTTAAACTTTAGGTGTTTAGGTGACTGTAACACCTTTAGGTGTTCCTAAATTCCGAACCAAATTTATTTTGAAAAAAGGGTATTGGTGTATATACACTTATGAATAACCATATGATTCCATGATTTAAAAAAAAATCATGCTGTATATATGTATAAGAATAAAGATTTCTATTACAGATATTTGCTCTTTAAAGGGCCAAAAAATCTTTTGGGGGGGGTCTTTTTGGGGCTTTTTAAAACTAATTTTTGCATCTACATAAATTGTGTTCATTCCAATTTTCCCCAAATTTACTTCCTAAAAATCCAATCGCAAAATAGATTTCACGACGAAACTCATATTCTGGATTCGGTAACAACCTATTAGAATTATCTAGACTGAAATGCATAAGAGTTCATTAAAAAAATTTCACAAGTATGAAGACATACCTATCTGTAAAAAAATATATAAATGTGTTTTAAGCAGGAGTGAGAATACCACATATACCAGAAATGTAAAATTTCTGAATATTATCAATTGATAAATTCCATTACAAAAATACTATATAGTTGTAATAGGGTATTTCAACTCGACATGGTGCTCTAATGTGGCCTTTTTAAATTATTTTGAAAAACCATTGTTTAGCATTTTGAAATATATACTTCAGCAAGAGTTAATTTAAATACAAATTCAGTAATTTTGATCAGATCTGGATGTGATAGCTGAATTATGTTCACCACGAAATTTTACTGGAATAAATGGTTAGAATCTTAACACGATTATGCTACAATGTAGAAGTCATCTATTATGTTGATTCATACATCAACATAGATGCTATATACAACGAATACATATATATACACATTCTGCCCGAAACGCTTTGCGTAATAGTGGCTTTAGGCATTGTATGTACTAGCTCTATCTATAATCCATCAACTTTTGTATCTTACCTTGTATATATGTACCTTACCTGAATAAAAAAAATTATTTTATTTATTATTTATAGTTACAATTGAGAATGAATGCAATACAGAAATGAATGAATATATACCAATAGTTTCATTTTAGGCAGCAAATGCTCTATAAAACTGAACATACATTGTTACCTTGCATGAAGAAGATACAATATAGAAATAGATATATTTGCAGTTGCACTGAATGAAGAAAATGTTAAATAGAGAAGGGAATAGTTACCTTAGAAAATAGTGAAGTAGAGGAGCTGGCAAACCTTCGTGAGAGGAGAAGAGAGCTTCCCAACCCATACTTCTCTTCTCCACCAATTCCTCCTCCTATTATTGTGGTTTCCTCGTGCGTACTACCACCCCTGATGAGATCTGATAGATAGAGGAGGAAGGGATAAAGAGGAGAGGGAGAAAAACACAATGAATCCTGGTAGAGAGCGAGAGAGAAATAAACACAATGTATAATAAAAGTCGCTGTTACGAGACCCTTCGGTAAGGTGAGCGAATGGGTGCTCTTACCTTCGTTCAATTCCCCACCTCCAGACGCTCTTAAAAACAAAAATCTATGCTAAATGAGACACACGAAACCAACTGAAATGTAACGTGCCCTGAGGAGCACGCCCAGGTGATGAAAACGGATATGATGGGAAGCCGTGATGAAAATGGAAGTAGACAGAATAGGGAGAGAGGATGGTTAAAGGGGGTGAGAAGAAGGAGAAGAATGGGCATCAACACAATGCCTCCAGATTAAAAGGGCGGCATGATCTGAAAAGGTCTTCTTCCTTCGGGAGTGACCTCTCTGAGGGAGGGGGGATCATTGCTCGCCGCCTCTGCTTGGTACACGCATGCATTGCTGCCGGAACGGTGAGGAAGGGAGGGGACAAAGGGAGGGAAAGTGGAATGGAGGAGGTAGGGAAGGAGGGGTGAGAAGGAATGCTGGGGAAAGAGTGAGAGATGAGCGCAGTATTAGTGAGATAGACGCAAATATAGATGTCATGAAATTAGATAGAAGAACTAATTAAAATGAGAGAGAGAGAGAGAGAGAGAGAGAGAGAGAGAGAGAGAGAGAGAGAGAGAGAGAGAGAGAGAGAGAGAGAGAGAGAGAGAGAGAGAGAATGCACACACCAGCCTGAAATGTACAGCAACAGCTCGAACCACGACCCACACAAACACACTCACCTCACAAACCTCTCCGCTGTTCACCACTGCAAGATCAAATCAAGATAAAATATTACATGGGTGGATGAACCAACACAGATAATGTGAGAAAGCTGGACGTGGAAGAGGGCGAGAAGAGAAATGCATGATAAAGACTGTAAGATGAGACGCTCTGATAAAAAGGGGGAGGAGAAATTGATAAAAAAAGAGGAAAACCTTTGTGGTCTTTGAGGTAAATTTATCACTGAGAACATTTTACTTGAGGTCAGACCTCTTGGCTGTGATTTTAAAAGAGGAAAGTGGTATCTGGAATCTATGGATCAGTTTGAGGATTTTCGTGGTGTGTATAGATCAGTTTGAGGATTTTCGTGGTGTGTATGGATCAGTTTGAGGATTTTCGTGGTGTGTATGGATCAGTTTGAGGATTTTCGTGGTGTGTATGGATCAGTTTGAGGATTTTCGTGGTGTGTATAGATCAGTTTGAGGACTTTCGTGGTGTGTATGGATCAGTTTGAGGACTTTCGTGGTGTGTATGGATCAGTTTGAAGACTTTCGTGGTGTGTATGGATCAGTTTGAGGACTTTCGTGGTGTGTATGGATCAGTTTGAAGACTTTCGTGGTGTGTGTGGATCAGTTTGAGAATATTCGCTTTGTTTAGGGAATTAAATTAAAGACGCGCTGAGTTTAGGGATAATTTTGGAGGACTCACTGGGTTTAAGGATCTGAACTCTTCAAAAAAGCTTAGGATAGGAAATCAAAAACGTGTCCAGTTGTGTAGTGATTAAGAGTTAATCTTTCTACCCCATTCCACCCCGTCTCTCTCTGTCTTCAGGCACTGTAACACATTAAGCTTGAATACAAATTAACATGATAAAGTATCATCAATACGCTGTCTAATATCTAATTTCCGGAGTATTAACAGATTAATTGTTGAATACAAATGTTATAAGGTGACAGACGATCCAGTCACAGTAATGCCTGTACACACGGCGCTAAAACAGGAATTTAACCAAATTAGGGAAAGTTGACCAGACCACACACTAGAAATTGAAGGGACGACGACGTTTCGGTCCGTCCTGGACCATTCTCAAGTCGATTGTGACTTTGTGACCATTGATTGTGACCATTCTCAAGTCGATCTCAAGACAATCGACTTGAGAATGGTCCAGGACGGACCGAAACGTCGTCGTCCCTTCAATTTCTAGTGTGTGGTCTGGTCAACATACTTCAGCCACGTTATTGTGACTCATCGCCTGCTTAGGGAAAGTTGCTTTGAAATAATAGTGAAAAATATTCCACTCAACACATGTGATATGAAAGTGGCGACGTCTTGGCCCATCTTGGACCCCTTGTTAAGTCGTGAGACAGCAGGAGTGATTAATTAAGAGTAAGCTACCCAGGAGGTTGCACGGGCCTGAATAGCCCGTAAGAGTGGTTGTTGTTGTTTTAGATTTAGCTACTCAGAACGAAATGTCCATGTAGCACGGGCTATGGTGATCCCGTAGAGCAGGAATGGGTGTGGGAGGGTAAATAAGGCAAGAGAGAAGGTGAGAGGAAAGAGAGGTTAAGGGGAAAGGGAGAAGTAATGCATGATAATAAAGCTAAAATTAGCACATCGAAATAAAGACTCAGTTTCGTCAAAGGATAGGTGATAGACTAAGAGTCACCCCCCCCCCCTCCCCCAGACACACACCGTCAGCTGGATAAGCCCTACGGTCCCGTTGTGCCTCAAGGCCCTGTTCCTCTCGGCGTAATACTTTCTGTTTGAGTGGAGTTAATATTAACTTACAAGAAGATAGGAGGAATGCTGTATTTGTTCTGGTGATAGTGTTCTCGTTTTAGTGGTGGATGTGTTCTCGTTTTAGTGGTGGATGTGTTCTTGGTGTTGTGGTGGATGTGTTCTCGATGTTGTGGTGGATGTGTTCTCGATGTTGTGGTGGATGTGTTCTCGATTTAGTGGTGGATGTGTTCTCGATGTTGTGGTGGATGTGTTCTCGATGTTGTGGTGGATGTGTTCTCGATGTTGTGGTGGATGTGTTCTCGATGTTGTGGTGGATGTGTTCTCGATGTTGTGGTGGATGTGTTCTCGATGTTGCGGTGGATGTGTTCTCGATGTTGTGGTGGATGTGTTCTCGATGTTGTGGTGGATGTGTTCTCGATGTTGTGGTGGATGTGTTCTCGATGTTGCGGTGGATGTGTTCTCGATGTTGCGATGGATGTATTCTCGATGTTGTGGTGGATGTGTTCTCGATATTGTGGTGGATGTGTTCTCGATGTTGTGGTGGATGTGTTCTCGATGTTGCGGTGGATGTGTTCTCGATGTTGCGGTGGATGTGTTCTCGATGTTGTGGTGGATGTGTTCTCGATGTTGTGGTGGATGTGTTCTCGATATTGTGGTGGATGTGTTCTCGATGTTGTGGTGGATGTGTTCTCGATGTTGTGGTGCCAGTGACCACGTTCTTGGAGAACAACTGGCTTACATCTGGCACCTGCAAGTCCAAGCCGTTGTTCATTGTAAGTGATCATTCCGCCTTAAATTTTGATCAATATATATATATCCTAATTCAGCCTTTATTGGGAATCTGAATCGATCCAGACTGCTCCTTAATGCCAGTTTCAGCTGGCACTCTCACTAAAGTGGAGCTTGGACTGGACGGTAGAGCAACGGTCTCGCTTCATGCAGGTCGGCGTTCAATTGCCGATCGTCTATGAGGTTGGGTACCATTCCTTCCCCCCGTCTCATCCCAAATCCGTATCCTGACTCCTTCCAAGTGCTATATAGTCGAAATAGCTAAGCGCTTTCCCAGGATAATTCCATTTCACCGAAGTGGAGCCAGTCACTGAAAGCATTACATTTTTTTTTTTTTATGAAATATATTTTTCTGAACGCGTTCAAGGAACTTATATATATATAACAAACAAAACAAACTTTACTTATTAATAAACACATTTATTTCGATTAAATTCTTACCCCACAAAAACTTAGCAGGAAATAAGCTCAATTCATGACTTTACATGTCAAATGTAAATGTCAATTTTTGCTCGAAACGCTATGCGTGCTAGTGGCTTTACAAGAATGTAAAATCAACATCATTTCTATGTACTCTCTTAACCCCCAATGTATTTTCTTGTATATAAATAAATACAAAATTTAATAGATCAATAAATTAATTAATATCCGTCATAAAGCCTTGGACTTTGTAACCGATTCATCCTTAATCACATCCACCATATAGCTATGGACTTTTTAAATGCCACTATCCTTTCTTAAGCAAGTCCACCATTGGACTTGATTAAGAATCCATTTTTCCAATTCACCCTTGTGGTGAATTCAGTAACTTAAGGCTCCTATTCCTTTTCTCTCTCTCTCCATCTGAAAAATTTGAATTTTGTAATAGGTGTAAAATTCCATTACACAGGTACGAGAATCCAAATCACGCAGCTCATTTGCATACTCTCGCATATCAGCAGGTATGTAATTATTTAAATGACATAACTTTTATGTTTTACTATATATAGGAAATAATTTGTTATTATTACTTTTCTTGAACTGGCTTAGGTTTGATAAGGCTTAGAATGTATAGCATTAAAACAGAAGATGCACTTAAGATATAAGTAGTAATGTTTATCTTTTCTGTACTGTTTGTTTAAGTAATGTTGATCTTGTCTCTATTACTTGTTTAAACAATGTTGAACTTGTCTCTGATGTTTGTTGAAACAACGCAGATGTTACATCAACTGTTTGTAGGTAACTCTACTGTGGCGTTAGTCATATTATTGGAGATTTAGTGAACACCATTTAATGGGAGAGGAAATCCTTCAAGAGTTAGGACGAGAGAAAGATCTGGGGGTTGATATCACACCAGACCTGTCCCAAGAAGCCCACATCAATCGTTTTAGCTTCTAGTTTAACGAGATGTTGACGAGATATTTGAGCTTTTGAAGTGATCGCATGTTCTATTTTGCTGTCATAACCAGTTCTATAAATTAGGATGTTTTAAATCATTCGTTAAGTATACTCTTCATGGGACAGAAAACTCGTATGTGATAGTTGATTCTCCTGTTTAGATCAAGTTAAAAAGTTTGATATAAAACGCTCCAATATATCTTAGATTTTACCTTCTCCTCAGATAGACAAATTAGTATTATTATTACAAGTTTGAGTATTGTATATTTTATATTTTGTTATTATTATAATTTCGTTGAATGATGATGCTGGAGTATGATGTTAGTGGTTCATCTAGGTCGTATAGTGTGTATGAAAATTCGAGTGGACGAGCGTTAGTGTTAGTTTCAATTTTTTTATAACTTTACTGTGGTCTAAATATACTAAATTATCTCATTCTTCACTAAAAAATTTGCCTTTACTGATCTCTTTTGACGTATACTGAGCTCTTTACAAAATGTGAAATCTTTATTGAACTCTATCGATCTTTACTGACTTGTTTCAAACTTTACTGAGCGTTGTGTCTTGTGTGATCTCTTTCTACTAATATTGCTATTTCTCTATCTTTACTAATCTGCTTCGCTGTCTGTACGTTTACTGAGAGCTCTCTCTCTCTCCACTGAATTTTCTATATATAGTTTTTTCTACTATTACTAAAATCTCTTCATATATACTGAACTCTCTATACTGATATCATATCTTTACTCACTGTTTCTCACGTGGCAACTGGTTCTACAAATCAACAACCCTGTTACCGAACCAGTATTTACCCAGGTCATTCTGAAATCTAAACTTATCCAGTTTATACCTGAAAAAAAAACAGTGAGTAAGCTCTCACTGTTTTTACTAAGCTGACCCCGTTCGCGTAGTGCCAGTAACTCTGTATTGACAGTAATACAGAGCTTTAATGGGCTCTGTATTAATCTATCTCAATCTTTACTTAGCTCTTTCAATCTTTGTCGTCGTCTCCGGACTCATGTCTTTCACATTAAAATGGGAAACGGGTAAACGATTATAATGGTGATGGGAGTTTTTAGTTTCTTTATCTAACAACTTATGTTAGATATTTGTTATAAAGAATAAATATGAAAACGTTATTAGCTTTACTTATATCAAGTTAACATTTTATTTTAATAAAATTAAACAAATCCACAAATCCTTGTGGATTTGTTCATTATATATATATATATATATATATATATATATATATATATATATATATATATATATATATATATATATATATATATATATATATATATATATATATATATATATATATATATATATATATATATATATATATATATATATATATATATATGACAATGTCAGACCACGGAGGAAAAATGAAACAGGAAATTTCCTTAAGTACTTTCGTATATTAAATACATCTTCAGAAGGTCATTTTACAGATCGAGTGATGGGTATAAATAGGCAGGAAGGAGTGGAGAAGTAAGGTGAGGTACAATACTTGGACAACGCAGAAGGCCCATTGGCCCATCTGATGCACCCAATTGGCACATCCGATGTAGCACAATGGCCCATCTGATACAGCAGACATACAAGCATAATATATAGGTAATTATAACATAAAGAAGTAAATATATACAATAAATTAGTGAGACAAATGTTTTTCAATGATTCTACTTAAATCGCCTTTTAGCTGATCTATTAGAAATGGATCTAAGTTATATAGACCACTGCTAATATTCAAATTACTTTCTTTGGTGATCTGTATCAAAGCAGATTCAATTATGTTTCTGTTATAGGTGCTTTTACAATTTGTTATTGAAGAAGCACTCTCCCAATCAATTTGGTGAGCTTTTTCTGACAAATGCACAAACAAAGCATTAGACATTTGGCCATGTTTTACAGAGTATTTATGTTGCGATATTCTACATTTTAAATCTTTAGATGTTTGCCCGACATAGAACTTATTACATTCCTTACACGGTATTTTATAAATGACGCAATAAAATACCTTGTAAGGAATGTAATAAGTTCTATGTCGGGCAAACATCTAAAGATTTAAAATGTAGAATATCGCAACATAAATACTCTGTAAAACATGGCCAAATGTCTAATGCTTTGTTTGTGCATTTGTCAGAAAAAGCTCACCAAATTGATTGGGAGAGTGCTTCTTCAATAACAAATTGTAAAAGCACCTATAACAGAAACATAATTGAATCTGCTTTGATACAGATCACCAAAGAAAGTAATTTGAATATTAGCAGTGGTCTATATAACTTAGATCCATTTCTAATAGATCAGCTAAAAGGCGATTTAAGTAGAATCATTGAAAAACATTTGTCTCACTAATTTATTGTATATATTTACTTCTTTATGTTATAATTACCTATATATTATGCTTGTATGTCTGCTGTATCAGATGGGCCATTGTGCTACATCGGATGTGCCAATTGGGTGCATCAGATGGGCCAATGGGCCTTCTGCGTTGTCCAAGTATTGTACCTCACCTTACTTCACCACTCCTTCCTGCCTATTTATACCCATCACTCGATCTGTAAAATGACCTTCTGAAGATGTATTTAATATACGAAAGTACTTAAGGAAATTTCCTGTTTCATTTTTCCTCCGTGGTCTGACATTGTCACATTCTTAATCACGTGTTTATTTTCGTGATATACACATATATATATATATATATATATATATATATATATATATATATATATATATATATATATATATATATATATATATATATATATATATATATTGTTGTGTATCCACTGGGAATAATAATTGAAAATTCCGAAAGTTTCGGGTTTCACTACATAATCAAGGAATTTCTGTATTCTTGATAATGTGGTGAAATATGAAAACGTTCGGAATTTTCGTTTCATTTTCCAATAGGATCCTTACGCATAACCGCATCACGTGTTTTTGCGATTATTCTTGTGAGAATATATATAAATATATTTTTTTTTTGTTGACCAGACCACACACTAGAAATTGAAAGGACGACGACGTTTCGGTCCGTCCTGGACCATTCTCAAGTCGATTGTGATGAGGACAAGTAGGGACAGGCATTAAATAGGCAAGAGAGAGCTGAGGAGGAAAGTCAGGTGTAGGGGATAGTAGTAATGAGAACTGCAGCAGGCCTATAGGCCCATACGAGGCAGCTCCTATTATAACCACCGAAGGAGATAGTAATAGGAATAAGAAGAGGATAGCAAGGGAGCGTAGAAGACAATGAACAGAAAAAGGGAGAAGAGAGAAAGAAAGGGAAAGAGAAAGAAAGAAATGGAAGGGGGGAAGCTTATGTTAAGTCACGTTTGTTAGAAAGATTAGAGCATTTGAGTATATACTGTGAAAGGGAAGAGTCCACAGCAACAAAGCCAGGACTCAAGTTCATGTTGGGTACTTTGTTAATAAGAGCCGATTCTACAAGACGGCGTCTGTGTAGAGTAGAGGCAGGAAAGATTATTTTGACTTTCCTCCTCAGCTCTCTCTTGCCTATTTAATGCCTGTCCCTACCTGTCCTCATCACAATCGACTTGAGAATGGTCCAGGACGGACCGAAACGTCGTCGTCCTTTCA